GTAGTGGTGGTGGTGGTAGTAGAAGTAGTAGTAGTAGTAGTAGTAGTAGTAGTAGCAGTAGTAGTAGTAGTAGTAGTAGTAGTAGTAGTAGTAGTAGTAGTAGAAGTCGTAGCCGTACTCGTGGTAGTAAGCAGTTCTAGCCGTGGTGCTAGTCGGCGGCAGAGCAGCAGTAGCAGCAGCGGCGGTAGCAGCATTAGCAATCGATACCTACGCAACCGAAACTTAGCAAATACAGCCGGAAAGCAGCTCGGAGTAGAGCATGCAGGTGTGCCTTCCCTGTTTTAGCCCAGATGTCGGCAAGATCTGCTAGGGCCTAGGTTTGGAGACCTGGTCTTGAGTTCGGACCCTGCTCGTGACGCCTGGAATAGAAGCACACAAGGCAAGTATGTATTCTGGGTGGACCCACCTTAGACTGACTTATGAATCTTTATCCCCACAAGCTCGACAACCGCCTCACCGGAAAAATGCCGAGGCACCTACAGATGCCTGGGCCTTGATTCGGCTGTGAGATCTTCGGACTTCAATATTCGTCAAAACATTCTCCACCGGCATCCACTGCTGTAGATACACTTTGGGCAGATGAAGCATAGTGCTCTCGGAGACGTGGGGCTCAACTCGTGTTGCGTTGGTAGACCACGGACTCCACAAGCTTCTTATACAAGCCAAAGCGGCATGGATCCAGAAGTCGCAAACTTCGTGCTTCGAAGGGGAAGCTGAACCATCGAAGCCTGAAGTTCTAGCTTTGCTTGGTGTTGAATCACCCTAAATGATTGCCCTACATGTCCTTTGAGTCCAGGATAGACCGAAGTCCCCCTTACACAGACGGGTGAGAGGTCGGAGGGTACAAATGGTACAGACCCGAGCGCAATTGAAGCCTCAAGCTCCGAACTGCCCGAAGCTCCAAACCCCAAACTGCCCGACCCAAGCCAGAATATACCAAGGCCTCAGACGAAGAACCGCTGATAGAGAGCAGTGGTGAGGAGGCGCTCAGCATGCATTTCAGGCCAGTTTAGGCTTTGAGGCCTCCGGCCGGTCTTGCAAGGCTTTACATTGGAAAAATATGACCTGCGTGGATACTACCCATGTAGTTCATGTTCGAAGGTGTTGGCTTGAGATGATTTGGAGGAAGGCCACTGTAGTTTTGTGAGCTTGAGATCTAGGGCCAGGGCTTTCGGCAAAAAATGCCAGGTCGCGTGTGAGCTGCAAGAGCAGGGAGCACTGCAGGTGCGCACCTTGCAGGGCCGTCTGCAAACTTTGGCAGGGGACGATTCCACTATTTTCTAGGGTGTCCTGGAGAGTTGTAGTGCCAAGACGACGAGAAACCTGAAGCAGCCGTCTGTGCAAGGTGCCTGCCAGCTGGTTAGTTCGTAGATGAGGTTTGTCGTGGCCGAATCTTCGAGCTGGTTGTCAAGCTATGCCACAGGTCAGCAACGAGCTGTTTGTCAGGTATGCAGATTTCAGGTCACTTCGAGTAGATACTGAGTATGGACAGCGCGGAAGACTCGGAGGCCTGCATTATGTGCATCAGGACCCTTATGAGCACTTTATTCACCACAACAAGAATCAGGCAATGGGGCGTCATCGGATTCATGTTACCCTGCTGTTCACGACCAGTTTAGAAACATGCCTACGCCATGCGGCATGCGTGGACAGCTTGTGTTGCTGCGCACCAGGATCCGGCAGAAGCAGCAAGCCCGACCTCCCGCAAGACTTGCGGCATAAGGAGAATTCACAGCCAGGGCCTGGGAAAGAGAGTCTCGGATTGAGAGTCTTGAGAGCTGGGCCTCCAAGGTACACGTCTGATAAAGGCAAGTCCGCACCACTGCTGCAGTCTGCAGATACGGCTTCTAAGCTGGCCAAGCCTTGACGAGCCGTGAATGTGCACTACTGCAGAGGCTACCTCTCAGAGGACACTTCGGCAGATGAGAGGCGGAAGTAGTAGAAGAAGCAAAAGTGTTTTTTGGTGCTTTGATTCGGAGGTTACGGCTGTTCAGGTTTCGATCGGGGCTTGAGGCTCTAGGACTGCTGGCTGTTGAGACGTGTTCGGTCATCATGTCAGCGTCATGAGCATCATCTTCACCCTCATCTTCATCCTCATCTTCATCCTCATCTTCATCTTCATCTTCATCTTCATTGTCATTATCATCATGGACCGCCGCCGCCACCACCACCACCGCTGTCGCCCCTACCACCGCCGCCACCGACCAAGACCACGACCACTGCCTGTGCTATTTGTACAAAGCGACGACGACTACTACTGCTGCTACCACCAACACCACCACCGCCGCCACCACCACCACCACCACCACCACCACCACCACCACCACCACCACCACCACTACTTCGCCTGCTACTACGCCTACCATCGTCTCGATGCTTGCAGTTAGTCGAAGCGTGTACTCGAAGAGCGAAGTCATCTTAAATATGCGCGTCCATAGCCGTAGTGGTATTTGCCGTGACCGTGGAAGTGGTGGTGGTATCAGTGCTAGCGCTCTTGTTCGTACTAGCATCAGACAGTAGCAGAGCTGTTGCGAGTGCTGGCGGTAGTCGTCGTCATCGTCGCAGAAGAAGATAGAATGAGGAAACAGATTGTCACTGAGAGCATGGAGCCAGGCCGCAGGAGATGTCGAAGGAAGAGGCAGCCGTCCGCGTTGAGGCGAAGCCAGCCCTCGAGATTCGGCGAGAGCAGGCTGGACTCATTAGAGCTCTATCCTTAGGCCGAAGCATGGGATCTATGTGCCGACTCTTGGCAGCGAAGCTTCATAGTTTATCTCCGATTGTAGACATGGCGGAGCCATCCAAGCATGTTGAGCAACCGCATGCAAAAACGTGAGTTCGGTCGCCTAAGATGGAGGCTCTTCTTTTGCCGCAAGCTGTGCCAAAGACAAGGAACCCTCCGAAGCACAACATCTCGAGCCTGGAGCCTTATGCCCAAAGGCTGCAGGCCGCGAACATCCCCACCTCAAGCCTGGACCGTGGAGTGGCTTAAAGATGCTTGAAGTACCATTCCCACACTCAAGTTTCCAAGCCTGCCCGATGGACTGTGTTAGCTCTATGCCGACAACTCGAAAATCTGTCAAGACAGGGCAGCTGCTGTTAGCAGCAAAGCGCGAGAGGGTCGTTCTGGTAGGCCAGTGTATGTTGAAGTGAAATTCGCATGCTAACGACGGCAGCCTGGCCCCGATTCGAGAAATGTTGATTGGGAGTGGTTTGGACTGTAGAATCCTGGTGCGAGCACCCTGGTCCTTGAGGGAGTTACAGCCTTGGCTTGCCAAGGACACCCACCAGCGGATGTGCCGAGAACACAAGCCTTATCGCTCGTGTCAGGATCAGGCTGCGGCCACCAAGAACAAGCTGAAGTCTGCCAGTGCCGCCCTCTGGAAAGTCTGGGTCGCAGCAAGAAAGAGGAAGTACAATAGTCTGTCTCGGTCGTGGACGAAGTAAGGCCCTGTCCGTGTCTGGCAAGACAGACGCACGACCTCACTTTCGAAAAGTATCGAATCTAGCCATGCAGAGTCAAGGACTCGGAAGTCCCTATGCCGCCCGTGAACTCTTGCAAGCATTCGCCCGAAGATCTGGGCTTTTTGGCATCCTCCACACAGTCAAAAAACATCTTAAACCCATGGATGTTACGTGCTGAATCTCACAGCCCGAAGCCCCAACATCCTAAATAGCTGCGGTCAAGACCTGAGGCTTCCTCTCCGACGATGACTCCGAAAGCGAAGTGTCCGACAGCTCAGTGGGCTCTTGGGGTTCAGGGACGCAGAGCTTCCGGATGTGAGGCATTGTAGGATTCGGGCATTTGCCGTCAAGAAGTGATCAAAAGACAAGCCGCACACGGTTCAGAAAGCGAATAGCACGCTACAAAGCCCCAAACTCAAAAAACATCCATTGGTGACACACGAAGCACCGCTTTACAACACCTCCCAGCAAGCGGCAGTTTCTTGCAAGCTGGATGGCATCATCGCGAATGCAGATGCACTCGCCTAGCATGCAAAACAGCACCGTGCGGAAGCTCTTTCACATCGTTAAATGACCGCCTTGTGCTCGATGGGACCCAAGGCCAGGATCTGTGCCTTCCGAAGGAGGTCTGCTGAAGCCGGCTCCAGGGGGATGACTCCACGCGGCACAAGCTTTTTTGTTGAGCCAAGCTTTTTAGAGATAGACTGGCTCTTGAGACCTGCAGTCTGGGATCGTAAACTAATGAGTTCCATGTGAGGGCTTTGGTCTGGGTCGCAGATGTCAAAACTTGTTAGCATCGTCGGCAACTGCTCGGGTCCAAGCTTTGAGCAACTCAGCAAAGATCTGTGCCGCAAGAAGCCACTCTGTTTCGCAAGTTGCTGGCAAGCCTTTCGGTGTTGCCTGCATTCGAGGAGTTCAGTGTTTTTGCCAGACATGCTGCGGGCAGTTTTTGAGATGCTGTCAATGAGCAGAGCAAGGACCTGTGGCCAGGCCGTAGGCCCTCGGAGAGGCCCCAAAGGGGCCGTCGCGTAGAGTCCACTCTGCTGAAGCCTTGCTTAGAGAAGCAGACGCGGGACTGGCGTCAGTCTTACAGCCATGCTGGCAAGCAGAAGGTCTGTCGTTTTTCCGGCTCTTCCGAGCTTCCGGCACCTGGCAGCCAGTAGCTGTGCTGAGCGAGCTTTTCAGGCGCTCAGCTTACTGTACAGCTCGTGCAAGTAATCACAGTTGGCGATGAGGTTTCGCGCCTCAGGTGAATCAAACTTGTGCAAGGGAGCGCATGGAGGTTCAGATTGTCGATTTGAGCCCCCCCATGTAGTTAGTAGGACCACCCTTGCCCCGCTTTCGGGCTATAGGCACAACTAGCTCCATTCCATATCACATTCCTAATGTATGTAGGTGACTGCAACAACCTAGATGACGAAGGCGGTCTGAAGCAGGGACAGGGCATCACAACTCCTATCCCACCTAAGTTACCATCCTAGTAATACTCCCAACATCCCTATCCAGGTGCCATAGCTCAAAAGGGGCAAGGGGGGTCTTGTAGAATTGGGTTCATGGTTTAGGGTTAAGGGTCCAAGAATGTTGTAACTATACTGTAGTTATAATATATAACTGTTTATGTATTAGACTTACAATATAACTATGCTTTTGGAGGAGACTATCTGTTTTGAATTTTGAACTATCATCTCATTTAAGAACCGTGATGTTGCTTGTAAATATTCACAATGCAAGTTTTTGCTTTTTTTTTAATATCATACTGTAAATAATATATCATCTTATGGAAAATATGATGTACCAATTGAAAACAATCAAAATAACCACATAAAGTATCTTAAAAATCATTCTTTTTCTCCTGAAGTCAAATTTATCTAGGTTCTTCTGCATTGTTTTCATTTCAGCATGCAACTCAAGTGTATAGTTTTCCTTTTGAACATCATCTCGCATTATTTTATAAACTTCATCATACTCTGGATATTTACATATTTAGTAAAGGGGCATCTATAATCATGAAATAAACTTCTTAACTTACAACATTTATCACAACAGTAGTCATCCACAATCTGGTTTTTAAACTGTTATTTAAGACATCGCATTTACCTAGTAAAATTTTCTGTCTGGTCTTAACTGGGTTACACTTAGTACATCTACTGAAAAAAGCAACGGAGATTTCTCATTATAAGACAAGTATGTTTCATCATCACTCTCGCTTTCATTTTCACTCTCACTTTCGTATTCACTCTGACTTTCATACTCACTGACAGACATTTCCACTATAATATGTAGGCGTCATTTCTTTAAGTCATTTTCCTCAGAAAGATTATTTTCTTAAGATTTACTGGATCACGGTTTGCTTGACAGACTTATCTAAGCATGCAGAACAAGTCAACACATAATTAATATAATGATAAGAATGCTTACTAGTGCAATAGCAACGCTTGAAACAATCAATGATTTTGACTTGCTTACACCGATAACACTTCCTAGTTTCAACATTAACTAGTTCATTTTATGGGTCAAAATCAACTGATATCTTATCTACTCTTACTGGTATTATATTATTATATGATATTATGAAAATTTGCACCGGTTCCTTCAGATTAACCGAAGCTAATTACCAGTTAATGTCACTTACAAACTCTTAGTCTTATTGGTTGCCTATGAACCTGTAGAACTTACTAGGCGCACGAGGAATTGGCACACTTCCTTCCTCTGTTTGATCGGGGATTGTTGCTTATGCCTCTGATGGCCTGGCAAAAGACACGAGATTTTCCAATCCATAATATGTACATTATACTTTCTTAGATTTTTTAAATATGCAAGAACTGCCAGAATCAATTCGAAAGAAGAGTTGCAACACCTTTTAAGCTTTGTATTTTGTATTACAGCCTTTTCAAGTTCTGCCTTGTCGCATAGTCGCATAGTCACGCGAGGCGAATCGCGTCCGCGAGGCTCATTCCTGGTGTCGCGTAGTCCTCGAGGCTCGTTCCTCGCATCCATTATTTCAAAGATACTTTTCTCCTATAAAGTAATGACTGATGAAATACCTAAAGTAGAACCGATAGACATTCCCGAGTATAAATATAAAAACAGCAAGTTTGATATGATGCCGAGGCTTCCCGCACGGATGTCATGCGTGGCTTCTTCAACAGGTGGTAAACAGTATTGATCCAAAGCTTAATATTAACAATCCATATAGAATCCTTTGAGAAAATATACAGCTTTTCGCCCAGTGTTCACGTGGACGACACTTGGACGGCAGCAAAGAAATACATAATCGATGTAACGGGGGTGATGCCGAAAAAGAACAGCCATATCATGGGCAATACGACTCAGTGGCACTAAAGAAGATCATAGACACTCAACATAAAGTAATTGATGTTCAGAAGAAGAATAAACAAAAAGATCTGTTTAGCATTCTGCTAGTGGTGGATGATTTCGCAGACGATGCCAAATTCGTAAGATACTCAAGCTTGTTACACGGGTTATTCACTAGGGGTCGTCAAAATGCCATCTCGAGCATTTTATCCACGTAGAAGCAGAATGCACGCGCCCCGATCATTAGGTTAAATGCCAGTGCCTTACTCATCTTCAGACTCAAGTACGAACGAAGACAACATAAGTCAGTGCAAGAGAATTCCGCATGGGTGGACCAAGGCACGTCATGCGAAATGTATCAACAAGGCGTGAATTTTGCTCCTTGCTTTGCAATATCAGATTAAACTGAAGCTACAACAGTTAAACGGCATACATTTACCTTTGCTACATGTGCTTTTGCTTCTTAATTCTTCTACATCTTTCTCTCATGTTTCAGGTTTATCAACTATGTTCTGTAATGAGTTAAATGTTATTAGATCGTTTTTAGCTCCTTGGAGTTGTTCATCTAGTTCACCAAGAGAAAGCATATGCACAAAAAACCCAGTTCAGATAATATTTCATCTGTTTATATACTTTTTTTATCTTTGTTATCTCACGCCAGCTGTAAAGACTACAAGATAATATTGTTAGTTCTTTTGTATACTTCTTCGTTAGACTAAATTTTTTTGATATTCATTTTCCTTTCAATATTATCACTGAATAACTTTATGATTATTATTAATCAGACATTGTTTATTTTCCATCACCTTTCCCTTTCCCCTTCAACTTCGTAATTTCATTTTTTAAATATGTAGTTTGTTTGACGAACTCTTGAATAGCACCATATAGAACAACAGAAGTTTTAGAATACTCAACTTTCATGCATTCATCAGCATTTTCTGTGTTGAGCGCTATATCATATTCTTCTGGTATTTTTGAGTGTTGCCAACCTTGGGCTACAAATCCCATTCTTTTCTTTTCTTTAACCTCATAATTAAATTTGTTTGCTTTAATGTCTTTTACTATATCTAAGCTTTTTTTTAGTATCTAACTCTTTAATATTTTCTTTTGAATTGAAATCTGACACCTGTCCGATGCTTCCCGTATATGAAACATCACCATCAGCATAACAGTTATTATACACATCTACGGTTGTCTCGCCAACTATTGATTTATTAGTATTGTTTAGTTATATTAAGCAAACCCACCAAATTAACATTACCATTAGTTAATTTGATTTGTGGTGTTGATGCTTCTAAAACCAACTGTTAAATTTATGTCTCCTAATGTATCTCCGTTTCAACAACTTGTATTGTGTATCCAATACCTCTTTAAACTCTGATGAACTTTGAAGCAGAAATCTTCCCCAACTAATAACATCGGCTTCACCAAGAATATTACCAATACAGTCAAACGTCTGGTTATTAACGACTGCTCTATTTGGTGTAATTCCGTCGGTATCATCAAGTTGAAGACAGATAGTCCCCGTTGTAGGGTCAGTTGTCCTATCCGATTGTAACGAAAAAAAAATTGTTGTGTTGAAACGACATTTAAAGAATTGAAAGCATCTGTTCTTTCAAATATTCTACCGTTTGTATCCACCCAACAATTACTCACAGCTGTTAAATATTTTGACTAATTAGTTCTAACCCATCCAAATTGACTTGTTCCTCCTACTGTTCAATGAAGCCCTAAAACCGGATTAGCACCAATGCCCATTCTTGCATTAGAAGAACTACCAACGCGAATTTCTCCGGTATTAGTATTTTGCAATTCCATTCGTGTCCCTATTGCTGGATTACGGGCATTGACATAGTTAAATGTTCTGCTCCTGAATTCAAAAATACCTTGACAGGATGGTGACTTGGGATCTTGGGGTGGACTGTCCTAGTATTGGGGCTGAGATCTTCAGGTAGACGTTATCTTAGGGTGGGGGCTGGGTGGATTGAGTTTCTATGAGGTGGACTTTGCCACGCGGTGAGATCAGGCTGTGCATTAATGGTTGCTGGTGGGGGGGCAAATGGGCGGTCTTTGATGAAGAAGTTGTGGCACAGTGCTTTTGGGGTGCAGTTGGTAAAACACTGGTGAAGAAGGTGGCAAAAAAAATTTTGACGGGAAAAGGGCGCGTTTTTTTTTTTCGGGGGGCGAGGGGGGCTGTTGGTGTGCTCGTTGAAAAAGGGATGCTGAAGATTTGGACGCTTGGGGGCAAGTGGTTGGTTGGTTGAAAATGCGACAGCGAGGTCTGAAAAGTTGGAAAAATGGTGGAAAATTGATGGTGTGATTGTTGCGAAAACATTTGGT